ATACTGTCGGTATATCCATATCGACCTTAGCTAGCTAGTAGTAGTAGTAGTAGTGGTTGGGGAAGCTCACCCGTGAACTATGGTTCACGGGCCACTTGGCATGCTTCGCTTAGCATGTTAGCAGTCAAGGGACCCTTAACTTGACAAGTAGACCTATTAGTTAGCTAGTGCACGTGATTCCTTCTAGTCTTATAAAAGGAATCAGCTCCCTTGAATCTTAGGGAGCAGATAGAATTCAGATACTTTATTAACCGAGTGTTTTGCAATTGCAAGTACTTTGACGACCGTTACGACCTTACAAATATATATTCTTAATCGCTTAAAAGCAATTTAATACTGATTAATGATTGAATTACTATTAAGTGATCAATCATAGAGAAGCTAAGACTCTATAGCGAAGATACTTTTTATTACGATACCTCTTTCTTTTTACAACGGAAGAGCGATTTCGTACCAAGTCGCTTCTTATACTACCGACTTTCTTTATTCTTACGAAAGAGTGATTCCGAACCAAGTCATTTTTATACAACTTTCAAAGCTGTAAAGCCGCGCTTGCTACACATAGCAAACCTAACTAACACGATCGATCTACGTACGAGCAGATAATTACTATAGCCGATTAAGCAACTAGACCTTTAAGTAGGGAGTCTAGCCGACAAAGAGCAGTAAAGTATTATACCTTTCGAGTCTTATCACCACTTACGGAACCCTTAGCTATTCAGCCAAAAGAACCACTATACCCAAGACTCTTAAGCTTTTCGAAAAGACTAGACGATAAGATGTCGGGCATCTCATTTGATTTAAACGAGCTATTATACGCAAAGCTCGACAATGAGATTACGGCCCGAGCAATAGTAAGAGATTTTTTAGATGCGAAGTATAAAAGGCTAAGGGATTACGACTTATAAAGCTTATTCCGGCACGCTTTCTTACGCTAAGATTGGACGAGTTTTACGATAACGAAGGATAATACGGGACGAAGCTTTAAGTTTACTACTCTTATTAGCCTTAAAGAACACTTGCTGTCCAAAGGCGTATAATGCCCCTTAAAGCAAAAAGGCTACGCTAATAAGATGGTTAAGCTCTTAAACGACGAGCAGCAATACTAATAGACCTTTTAAGAAATAAAAGAGCAATAAGCAACACTTTTAAGCTTCGATTTAAGGTGGACTATCGAAAACCTTACGAACGACGAAGATAATACGCCTTAACCACTTTTACTACTTTTACAAAGTTTAAAAGAGAAAGAAAAGGAGGTATCAAGGAAAGAAAGGGAAGAGATTCGGAAGTTACGCGAGGAATTTGCGAAAGAGAAGAAGAATATAAAGCAAAATATAAAAGTGATAGTAAAGTAAATAGCGGAATTACGGACTTACGCTATACAATCTAACGAAAAGCTACGACGAAGCACTTCAGCGTATTCGACGCTTTTAATTCAGCAATCGCTACGCAATACGCTAATCATACAAAAGCCAAAATCACTTTAGCGGCCTTTAAACCTTTTTCTTAAGAGCTATAACCGGGTTTCTTAAAATCTAAAGCCGAGTAGCAATAATAACGGCTTCGAAAACATAATCGAGCTTAATAATACGCAAAGCAATAGCAGTTACACGTTAAAAGAAGACCCGCTAAAACTTAAGAGCATTTAAGACAAAATCAGCTCTTATTAAAGATAGCGTATAGATTTCCGTGCTTAACTTTAACAACTCGAAAAGAAGATCTAACACTTTCGGACGTACCGATAAGCTCTTTAGATCTATTAACAAGCTACGTTTCGATAAGAAGGATACTAAGGGTATAAGAATCGTTAAGAACGTGCTTAAAAGTACGGATATTATTAAGCCGGAGCTTTAGCCGGTAACTCGAATAGCTTTAGCGATCTTGACGATGACCGACGAAGAAGGAACGAAAGAGATTAGCAAGGAGATCGAGGCTACGGGTATAAAAGAGGTAAGAACGGCCTTTCTAGACTATTAAAAGGATTCGGAAACGGACTTTTAAAGGACCTCGGATTCGGAAATGAGCTTTTTAAAGACCTTAAAAAAGGACGGACCACCGGCAACTATATCGGTAATCCTTTACCGATCAGACTATTAGCTAAGCAAAGCACACTTGCGTACGGCACTTTAAGCGCTTTTAATAATAACGATGACGATTTCCTTAAGCTAAGAGCAGCAGACCTTTATTTAAGAGCAAAAGAGTTGGCCTTATTTGCAAGAAGCTTTTTTAAAGAACTAAAGTATTCGAGACCCGACGATGACTTTAAGACTTAATTAAGTATTTTTGCTAACTAAGCAAGCCGATACGGGTTGACCTCCGACGATTATTTAGCGGCGTTCCTTATTATGCTTACGAAAAAAGCGATTACTTTTTACTATAATTACGTAATCAAGGCCCGGCTTCTTACGTTTAAAGCGAACGCTATTGCGGTAAAAGACCACTTTGAAACTGACCACCGGCGGCAAGCAAAATACGACCGCTAAGAGGAAATTTCGCTGGATTTAGTTAAGAAGAAGAATCTAAGAACCTCGCTTAGCGAGTGCTTTGAAAAGCTCGCTAAAGAGCTTAAGGGCATTCAAAGCTCTTTACGACTAGGTTTGAAAGATGATCGAAGTCTTGCTAACAAGCTATATTCAGCTTATAAAAACGTGCCAGAGACTACGATTGCACGAATGAATCCTGCTTTTACTTTTACCGCGGCAGTTGCTAACATTCGTCGAGTAATTGCTTTTGCAACTAAGACCTCCCGACCTCCCGCCAAGGCTAGAGCTTACGCGAGCTCTAGCGAGCTACACGATCACACCTGCTCTTACAACACCTTAAAGGCTGACTCCGATTTGGACGAAGAATACGAATGCTTTATTCAAGACCGCTAATACTTCGGAAGTAAGAAAGCTGCCAAGGCTACTAAGGGTAAGAAAAGGTGTTTTGTTTGCAAAAAGCCAAGTTGCTAGAGCACTAACCACACTCCCGACGAAAGAAAAGCATCCGTCGCTAAGTTCCAAGCCTTTAAGGACGCAAAAAAGGTGACGAAAAGCAAATTCTCTTAATACGTAGCATCGATTAAGAGCTTGCCACTTGTATTTACGAAAGAATTCGATCAGTTTATCGCAAGCTTACTAAACGAGCCGCCCGAATCGAGCAGTTACGTTAATATATCGGAAGGTTTTGTGATTACTTACGGCACTTTTAACGCTAACGAGGTATATAAACAGCTGGAAATTCAGACGGCATTCTACGCTTTTACTAGCTAAATCGAGACCTAAAACGTGCCCGCGGATAAGGCAGAGACTTACATGGCCTTTAAGTACTTTGAAAACGTGTTCATAAGACTTATGATTGACAGCGGAGCAGCCAATTTCTCTACCGCTAGCTTGCTTTAGCTACGAGCACTTTAAAAGAGGTACTTCGAGGTCTAATTAAATACATCTCGGGCAAGAGAGAAGTCCGTTAAGTACGGGATCGGCTTTGCTATTTTTATTAAAGCAGTTACTTTGGATACCTTTTTAAGTCAAGTAGAGTTTTACGTTGTAAAGAGCGACGTACCTTTTTTATTCTCGTTAGCTGATATAGATAAGCATAAGGTGATCTTAAATAACTTGCGAAACGTGCTAGTCTAAGGGAAAAGAGAAATACTAATAATAAAGATGTTTAGATACGTATAGATGTTATTAAGTAAAGAGCACGCTGCTACTTATTATAGCACCGAAAGCGAAACCGTCTATTGCTACTTTACGGAAAAGCAATTAAGGACTATTTATAAGCGTTTTAGCTACCTTTTAGCAAGTCGATTTGCTGCTGTTCTTAAAAGGGCCGGGCACGAATTCAAACGGGATTTGCTTTATAATATCTAAAAGTTTTGCTACTATTGCTAAGTATTCGGACGCTCTTCGAAGAGGTTTAGTATCAGACTCAAAGATGATATTAACTTTAATAACACGGTATACGTCGATGTGATGCACTTTAATAGCAAGAACGTATTGCACGTCGTTTGCGACTTTATTAATTTTCAAGCCGCCACCTTTTTTAAAAGCATGTCCGCATAGCATTTACTTAAAAGATTCAATCGATGCTAAGTCAATACTTACGTCGGGCCTTTTATAAACGTAATGCACGATCTCGGAACCAACTTCAATTCGGCAACGTTCCGAAGCTACTTTAAAAGTATTAGCAGCACTTTAAAGCAGATGCTTGTAAAAGCTTATTATAGCGTCGGGCTAGTGGAACGCTATTACGTCTTTGTACGACGCGCCTTTAAGATCATCACAAAGAAGCTTTTAAAAGCCTTAAAGGAGGACCGGCTTTAAATAGCTATTAAAGCTATCAACGATACAGCTGGACTTAATGGCTTGGTTTTTATACTCTTCGTTTTTAAGACCTTATTAAGGCTGACGGAACAAAATCGACTTGCCGCGTTTACTTAAGAACGTGCTGCTGCTATTAGCAAGGTTATAAAAGAAGTACGAAAATGCCACGTAGCGAAGCAGGTTAAAGACGCGCTTAAAAAGAGGAATAGACCAATTACGAAGCATATTTTAGACCTCTCTATTAGTTCACGAGTACTCGTATAGCGAGAAAACCAAAGGTAGAAAGGCCCTTTTCAGCTGCTTAGCAAGCAAGGGCATACGTGCACAATAGCATGTCCGAGACTTACGGAATTCAGGTCAACTTTAATAAAACTTTATTACTTTAAAGTTGAAAAGCTGCTAGAAAAGTTGCAAGTACTTAAAGTAAAAGCAGAAGAAGAAAAGGATAGAAGCGAAAGCGAAAAAGAGCTGGAACCGCGAAAGTCGTTTAAACCTTAACATTCGCTTAATCTACCGAGGTCGCTAAGATCAGCAAACAGCCCTTTTAACTCTCAACTTGTTAATTCCTAAAAATCAATAATACTAAGGGTCTAGATACCTTACTAGAAGTACGATCTTAATATCTCGACCGTGCTCGACGAGAAAGAGGGCGATTCTTACGTTTTATTTACTAAAGACTTCGAAGTGTTAGTTACCGATAAGGAACGCCGAGACTATGAGCTCTTAGCTAAGCTACGAGCCGAAGGAATCATTAAGAGCCTTAGGGCACTATTTCAAGAGTCTAAAGCAAAGGAATTGGCTGGATTGATAGCTTAAAGCATCTTTTAAGTGATCTCGGGCACCGACTTACGCGCTAAAAGCGCTAGGATCTTCGGATCTAAGTTTGTTAATAAGATTAAAAGCAAAAGAATACTTACGCTATACGAGAAGTCTCGTATAATAGTTTAAGCTTTTCAAGATAAAGGCAAGACGAAGGTACTTACCGAGTCACTTACGGTGCAGCGAGCGGGCTAAAGACTCTGTTGTGCTTTAGCTCTTTCTTTAATAAAAGATTACGAGTGTTAAGTCTATAGCAAGGATATCACTTAAGCTTACACTTAATCAAGCACGAAGCTCATCTGAATAATTGTCGTGCGATTACTTAAAGAGATTACTTATCGATTCCCTTCCGGCACTTTGTTCTTTATGATTAGCCTTTTATACGGCATCTTCGAAGCAAAGACGCATTAATATAAGCGTTTCTTCGAGCATTTTATAAACAACTTCGGTATGCGGCAATCGAGCTTTAATTTTTGCTTCTTTGTATTAACTAATAAAGATCAGCTAAGAATAGCTGCTTTATAGACGGACGATGTTCTTATAGTTGTCAATCGAACTATAAGAGCAAAAGAAAAGAAGGAGCTAATGAAATCTAAGCTAAAGAGCAAAGAAATAAAGATCTTTATACACGTCGAACCGATGATTTTCAATAAGTGCAAGCTATTTTTAAATAAAGACGAGTTCGAAGTGTTAGTTGGTCAGAAAGAGCAAAGTGAAAGGCTTGCAGTAATCAAGCTCGATTTAGCTATACGAGTTAAAGAATACTTAAAGCAACGTACTCGAAAGGCGTATTTGGCTACTATTTACTACTTAGAAGCATCTTGTGCTTTATCGATGGCTGCTTAATACCAAGAACCGAAGGACGGGGACTATAAGGCCCTTAATAAAGTGATTTAGTAGCTGATCGATCATTTAATACGAAGGATCTACTACGTGCTTTTAAACTTAACAACTGCGAAGCTCTTTGTGTTCGTAAATAAAGCGTTTGCTAACAACGCTGACTTTAGCTCTTAGATCGGTTTCGTAGCTATCTTTGGCAATAAAGCTTACGTAAGTAAAAACGAATTCACTTTAACGGATAACATCTTCTATTAAGTGTTACAGAAGTGCAAAAGGGTGATAAAAGCAGTATTAGCCTTTAAGCTATACGCTATGTCTTTAAGTATCGATATAGCTATTGCTATATCGACCACCTTTGCCCAAATCACAGCTTAGCTAAAGATACTTAATTTCTTCGTAATTGTGTGCACTAACTCTTATTCGCTTTACAAGTGCATAGTAAAGCTAAAAACTATTAAGGAGAAGCGCTTTATGATCGATATTATAGCTATTCGAAAGTTATACGAGAGGCGAAAGCTTTCTAAAGTACGCTAGATCGGAGGAAAATCTAACCTTGCTAACGCCATGACTAAAGTCGAGGCCAATACTTCTTTGCAAGAGCTAGTTTTGACTAATACTTTGAAGGTGCAAGTGGACGGGTAGGTAGAAAGGCCGCTATAAGAAAAAGAGGGATAAGATTGTTTTTTTTTGTTTAATTACCTTCTTTCTTTTTTCGGTCGATATAGTAATTAGCAAAGCACTGCTTGCCAAAGAGAGAGTTGCCGGTGTCGGTATATCTATATCGACCTTAGCTAGCTAATAGTAGTAGTAGTAGTGGTTAAGGAAGCTCACCCGTGAACTATAGTTCACGGGCCACTTAGCATGCCTCGCTTAGCATGTTAGCAATCAAGGGACCTTTAACTTAACAAGTAGACCTATTAGTTAGCTAGTGCACGTGATTCCTTCTAGTCTTATAAAAGGAATCAGCTCCCTTGAATCTTAAGGAGCAAACAGAATTCAAATACCTTATCAACCGAGTGTTTTGCAATTGCAAGTACTTTGACGACCGTTACGACTTTACGAATATATATTCCCAATCGCTTGGAAGCAATCCAACAGATACCTTATCAACCGAGTGTTTTGCAATTGCAAGTACTTTGACGACCGTTACGACCTTACGAATATATATTCCCAATCGCTTAGAAGCAATCCAACACAAAGCAAAGCAAAGCAAAGCAAAGCAGCGCAACGAAAAAGTAAAATAATTAAGTAAATTAAAATA